CATTGCAAATCCTATGAGGCTGGTACTGATTTTAGGCCCACTTTACACATAGATAACTAAGGTACACTGACAAGGAACATCCCTTGAGTCCTGCCGCTGATACATGCCAGAGCTCCGATTTGTCTCCAGAATCCATGCTTTTCACCAAGGAGAATTATAGGGAAAACATTTGACATTTTAGTAAATCACCCTACAGAGTGAATGGACAGCTACTCTTTTTAAAGAGTTGTGTGTGGGGGTTGAGATGGAAGATACGACAGTGAGGAACAAGGAAAACACCTCCACCACCTCTTAACAATGAGTCATATGCATGAAAATAAACCAGCCACCACTGGAATAGGCTGCAAAGGAAGCAGTATCTTCAGGGAATGGGCTGTTTTTAGTTTCAGGAAGGAGGAAGAAAACACTCAGGACGGGTGGGAGGAAAATGAGGCATTTGCACATTGGACATTAACCAAAGCAAACAGGGTTAGGGTGTGACAAGACAAAAACTATTCATGTTCAAGCGTTCCCAGAAAAGTGACAGTGATATTGGGCTAAATATTATAAAACTCAAATTTCTACGGTGAGCAGGTATAACTTGCTGTAACAAATACATCAGTCTCAAGAGGAAAAGCAATACAACCTTTGCAAAGTAAAATCTCATAGGAGACGTTATCCTGAGCAAAAATAAAACCGCTCAACCTCATAATTACAGGATACACAGTAAACAGAAATCCTACAAGAAAATAGCTTTACCCTTAGCAAGCCTATTGTTTATATTTTCTTCAAGGTAAATGACTGTTAAATAGCATTTCCGCTTTTAGCCTTATCCAAAGATAGCAAGTTCTTGCTATTATAAACCTATTTTATGCTAATTGATTCTAATTTGATTGAGCAGAATAAAAAGTCTAGAGCTTATAATTTTCATGTCTACACAGAACACATGACATAGTCTAGCCCTTGCTCTAAGCCTTTCCTACTTCAACCATCCTGCCATTATAATCTCATCTATTATTGCTTTCTCAATCAGCTTCCTGCCTTGAATGTCTCCCTCCCTGCCACTCAGTTATTTAACAAACAGCTTAAGCACCCATCATATTTGGGGCTGTAACACCTATAACTTTATCTTCTTTCTCTCAATAAATATATATTTTGGTCTTCCTGTGGCAAACTATAAGCAACTTGAGGGCAGACACTTGTATTTATCTTGGTAAGCTCACATTTAGCATATGGCAACTTGCACATAGTAGGCACTCAGCTTTTTTTCTGAATAGCTGAGCCAGTGTTACTGCTATTCCTGGAAGCACTGGGTTATTACAGAATAGGCAGAGCAGGCCCTCATATTTAACAAATGAATGAATGGATAGGTGGATATGTGCCTACTCTTAGAACTTCTAGGAAAGTTCAAAGAATTTCCTAATATTAGAAACTATTAGGAAATTATTGATAGTACTGTTAGTTGTGATAACTGTGGTTAAGGAGGAAAAAAAAGTTTTATTTTGAGAAATACACATTAAAGTCTTTACAGTGAAATTCCATGAATGTAGGAAATTTAAAGTACTTCAACAACAAAACAGATGAAGCAAAATGACAAAATAAACATTGCCATAATAAATCTAGTTATATTCTACATAACTAGTACATCTTAGTCTAGTCTAATACCTATAATGTAATTGGCAAGATGACAAGAATATGGTAAAAACCTAGAAATTAATCAGATTGCCTTCAGGTAAATCAGGAACAAGTAATATAGGTACTCTAACAGGAAAGGATATGACATGCTTGAGAAAGTACAATATAATTTTAAAGTAACTGAAAATTATTCGCACTAGGACAACCAAGAGACAGCATTCTGAACTGCTTGTAGGAGGCAGGCAGGGAATTTCTTATTCAGAAATAAAGTAGTCATGTTTAAGAATAAATTTCAAATACTACATGAGACCAAAAAATGGGATCACTCATTTATTTCTATTTAGGGAAAATAAATTTTTCTTCACATATCTTCAGCTTTTCTTGTTTTACACGTAAAATCAGTATGTTCATTGTCATAAATAAATATAAATAAATATTACAAAAGAATAAGATTTACAAATTTGACTATGGACATCTCACTTCAGAAATAACATATAATCTTTTCTTATGTGAATACTGTAGTATCTCTGGATACTTTTAAAGACATTAAGTCAAAGAAGACATCTTTCACAGGCTTTTTCCAAACTGTATTTGTGCAACAAAGGAAGACTCAGTCTTTCATTCTATATTCCTCCCTTGTCACCATCAACACCCCTGGCTCACTAGCATGTTTTACCTTTAAAATATTTTGCCAACCTGAAGGAAAAATGAAAATGCCTTACAGTCAAACATTATAATGTGGTTCATCTCTCTTTAGCAATTTTGCTTAAAAGAGACTGAATTGGGTTTTCATTTGCTTTTGATATCCAAATGTTTTTCATTTTTTATTTCCTTCATAAGCAGAAATAACATTACAGATCTTGTGGGGAAAAAAATCACTTTTCTTCTCTTTTCCTCGTGTTCCCATTCTAAATATGAACAAATCTCTATGCTTTCTTACACTTTTAGGAAAGGAATCACTCTCAATTCTGCAAGTTGTTCTATTTTCAAGAGGTAGAGGTGTGCTGAGAATGTGATTCTGGGACTGCCTTTTTTCTCCTTTGTTGACATTCCTAACACACCCTAAAGACAATGAAAGCATCCTAAATGAAAAGCACAATTGCATTTATTGTATCCAATATGCAGATAAGTCTAAGAGACTAGAAACAGTCTGTATACTTGTGTGTATTTTCTTCTTAACTCTTCTTTGGCTAAGTCAGCCAGCCCATGGTTACTAGCATCCCAAGCAAACCTGTCAACGTGAAACACGTGTACCCTGAAAATTCAAAAAAAAAAAAAAAAAAAAAAGTTAAAATCAAAATGATTTTATTTACTAGTGATAAACATTAATTTTTAGTTACTATGTGATAAATTGCCAAAAAGAATCAGTTAATTTGGGGTGCAAAACAAAAAAAATAATGGTAATAGAATATGGAAAAGATTCTACAGGTGGGGTTTATCAGCTACAGCAACAACTAAAATATGAAATGGAGTTTTTAGTTTCTCGAGATGAAGAGTGGCTAAGCTAGAATGAATTAGGGTACCCTCAGATTAAAAGTCAATGAATTCCTAAGTGTGGGAGATGTTAAAAAAAATAAAAATAAATAAAAACCCCTGAATACTATTACATGTGGAAGAGAAGATTAAGAGATGAAGACACTCAGTTTTACAGACACATTTACACAAAGTTATTTTTGTGTGAAAATTTTGTATGAAGATATGAGATGTCTTTTAAGATCTATAAACATGACCTATAAAAGGATATCTTAGCACATATTATAATTTTTCTTAAACATTGAAAACTCTAAAAGCCACCAAGCAAAAGGAGAAATACAAGGTAGGTCAACCATCTCATGATGCAAATTATCATAATGAAGGCATTCTCTTTAAGTCCTAATATATCATCCCTTTCCCCCCAAATATTTGTGGCATTATACATCTAATCATTACAATAAACTGACTTCAAAACATAGGATGAGATAATAAGCATACTGCTACCAAGTCCAGAACTGACAACGTGTCACAGTAATGATTCGATGAGCTAGTCATTCATTCAACAAAGGAAAAAACAACTCTAACGCCAGTATTGACTTAAGCCTCTATTATCCTTTAAAAGTCATGAAGAACGCCCTAGCCAAGGGTATTAATGGATATTTTACAAGATACAGAAATGTGATGTTATTAAACCAAATATACCTTTTATAATTTACCAGAAAGTCTTATTTCTGAGGGACCATCAGTCACACTTAAATGGTCAAACACAACATTGAGTACTTTGTTGCTCTCATGTGCATTGTAAGAGCTGAATAGTAGAGAAGAAAAAAACTATTGAATTGAATTATATAACTGTCATTTCCATCGAAAAACAAAGTCAGGCATCTGCTTACACTTCTATCCCTAAACTAAAATTTATCATATAGACCTAACTCTTCTAAAAGAAATAAATCAACCCTCTGATAGGCAAACATGAAGAATCATTAAATGAAACCACATTATCACTTGCACAGTAACTATATCCTGTCTTGATTAAGATCAAATATTTAATTAAATCAGTATGAAATCAGGAGGCTAGCCAAACATATGTAAAGCTAGCTCTTACGCTCAACAGCTTATGCTTCCAAAATAAGGCAAGTGGAATATTTTTTATGTGCACATAAAAAAGACAAATTTTTGTTAGGCATTTGCAAGAGTTTCCCTCTAATTCAGAAAATAAGCAATTAAATTCACTGCAAAACCCCAAAATACAATTCAAAACAAATACACTAGTCTCCTTATCTGTGGTTTCAGTTACCCACAGTCAACTGCAATCTGAAAATAGGTGAGTACAATACAAAAAGATATTCTGAGAGAGACAGAGAGAGAGAGAGACCCCATTCACATAACTTTTGCTACAATAAGTTGTTCTAATTGATTATTACTTAGTGTTAATCTCTTACTGTGCCTCATTTATAAATTAAACTTTATCTCACAGGTATGTCCATATGGGGAAAAAAACACAGCACATATAGAGTTAGGCACTATCTGTGGTTTCAGGCATTCACTGGGGGGTCCTGAAACACCCTGCCCCCAACCAAGGATAAGCAGAAGTTACTATATTCCTTCCTTCTAAGTTCCTTAATAGGACATACAAGTATCACAGCCAATCACCTTACCAAAGTATGTAAAGAAACTGATGAAAGCCAAGAGACAGCACCTGGTAAACTTACCACATCCTGCTGTCCTGCCCCACCCAGTCTCCACTCCCACCGATCCAGAGAGCCTCAAAGCAGTAGCTTTGGTAAACTGATAATACTCTATACATTGATACTTTATAACTTGATAAATTGATAACAGTATTTCAAAAGGAAGAGTTGGAACAAACACAAGAAAGTACATAAGATTGGTGGTTTAATTTTTTTTCAGAGTAGCTTTGCTGATGCTTCCATACCAACTCACTTTAGATGACTTAGAACTAACTGTGAGTTTTTGTTAGGTTCTAAATCACATTCCTAAAACATTTCTGATATATCTGGAGAAAAAGTTATGTCTTACTATATTTGCTATCATGACAGCTAGAATATTTTGTTGATATTAAACAAATGCCTGTAAAAATTATTAATCACTCCCCTGGACCTAATGGTCAAATATTTTTCCAAAAGCCTGACTCATTTAGTGAGTCCAAGAATATTTACATACTTTAACTTACAATAGGCTTAAGTAATATTGTTAATTTAAGTAGAAAAATTGTAGAGGGTAAAAAGGAGATAGGTCACATCATCCAAAGAATTAAAACAGACAATTTAATAACGGCATTAAATTATAGTTTTCTTATTAATGGGAAAAATGGACAGGCATTAGGGCAGCTTAGAAATAACTCAAGTTTGTATAAATTCCACAACTAGTTTTCTGAACAGTTAAAACTACAAAACAGAAGAGGGTCAATTTAAATCATCCTTTGCTACAGGACACATCAGAGTCAATGGTGACATTTATACTTAACATTATGTATATTCAATGCAGATTAGATATTTTAAATAATACTGATGTGTGTGTGTGTGTTGTTGTTGTTTTAATATCTGAGTGCTTACTATGTGCCAAGCAATGTTCTAAGCACTTGACAGGTGGCAACTCATTTGATCCTTACTATAATCACATGAGGTAGGTACTATATTTCCCCCATTTTACAAATAAGTAAACTGAGGCATAGAGAGGTTAAATTGCTCACAGTCAAATAATTCCCAGATGGCAGATCCAGGATTCAAACTGAGCCGTCAGGCCCCAGAGTCTGCTCTCTTAACCACTGCACTGTTTTGAGCTGGACTGGCATCTATTAATATAACTGAGAAAAAGCCCTAATCACAGGCAATTTCACAGTATGTTAGAGGTTGATTTTTCCTAGACTTCTTTGCTTCTGTGCAACACTTAGATATTACCATAAATTATACTGAGTGGAAAAAAAAATCAGTGGATCGATAGATCACAAAATGAGACTTCAAGTCACTTTTCTTTGAAATGTGCCTTTGAATATATTGAGGAAAAACAGACATGAAGTCTGTTAATCCAGGATAGTAATTACAGACAAAAATGAATACGGAGACATGCCAAAATTTAAATAAAGCTAAGAGAGTCATCTACTGATACAGTACCAAATTTTACTGGAAATAAACTAGGAATAAATTTTAAAAAATCATCAGAATTTCTGCTCACCCTGATTTTCCATATTCCAATGACTAGAATTAGGGTACCAGTTAATATAGTACCAGCAAGAAATCCTTGAAGGGGAAAAGATATGGTAACACAGTTAATAGAAACATGAGCAAGTAAAATTACATTATAGTTTCACAATGACAAACATACTGGTTATGAAGTGAGTTAAAAAACAGGAGATATTAATTTCATTTTGTATATGGCTTCCTTATGTCATAAGTTTTTGACAAATGCGTGTTTTATTTGTCCTGTTTTCTTTGAAAGAAAAAGGAAGAAATGTATTTAGAGTATCACAATGCTCAAATAAAATTTTTTGACAGGTTTGAGAGGCTTCTAAAGTGTTTCAACCCAATCATGCTCGATTTTAAATGTTTTGATCATTGAGCATTCAAATATGGTGACAGAATTATGTTATTTTAGAGCTAGAAAGTATCTTAGAGCTCACTTTCATTTTTTAGACGAGTAAACTGAGTCTCAGAAAGAAGGAACATTAACATATGTGGTTAACAGGAAGGACATTTACCTAGTTTATAGTAGATGTAACAGATATGTAGACATTTCTCCATCACAGGAAATATGCCTGTACTATTATCATCTGAGATTGGGGGGCAAACTATATTTACTTTGCCTACAGAATATGCTTTTTAGTGTTCAGCCTATTGTAGATTAAATTTCATTTCAAAAATTTATATTCAATTTTAAGATTCAAAGCACTATTTTGAGCTGAACAACAGCAAATAATTGGTCAAATAAGTTGGTCAATATCAAATCATTTTCATAGCTTACACAATCTTTCTTCTCAAATGTACCCATTTGCCCTTTTCTCTCACCATCCTTGTTCTCCCTTTCCTCACCAACACCCCCCTACTCCCACCACCATCAACCCTGTCCAGTGTCCTTGGACTCAACTCTATTGGTCTGTACTACAAAGGAAATGATAGATGACACGAGAATAGTAACTGAATCTAACGTGGCTAATGAGTGTGTTTGGCTCCAAATCAGCAAAATAGAGACACTGTACAATTGCACTGCCATATGGAACTTGTGATTTAAAAAACAGCTATTTCTACCACAGGTAAGTTTTTACAGTATTTCACTTTATAAGTTTATTTAACTGATCCCCTAGGATTGTATCATTAACTTAGAAAGACTATCCATGAAATAAATCACAGCTTCTAAAAAATTTTGGGTTTCCCCCTTCCTGTCACCAGTTCCCACTAATTCCATCATTTTCAATATCTTATTTTTTATTTGAATGCTAAATCAAGATAGAAGATTCAGAGTGATCTAGAACATCCAGATGACAGAAGGAAAAGGCTATTCCCAGAACAATGATCAACACATATACATAGTTCTAGAAGAAAGTGTAGAGGCTGATGGTTTAACAGAAAACCAGGGCAAAACACAGAAGTATGAAAAACAAAATCCTACGTATCTTCTCAGTAAATTAATAAGAGCATATGATCTCCCAAATTAGAAACAAATCTTTCAGGCTCAAAGGCAACTGTTTATGATCTCAAAATTCACTTGGTATCTATAGAAAACCAAAGGTGAATCAACATTAAGATTTATGCAACTTGGGATAAATGAAAGTACGAAATAATGAACGAAATAATAATTATGATTCCAATGTTCCTAAGATTAAACTGAAGAGCTCTTAGGTAGGAAAATAACATGATGTTAGAAAAAGGTTTTCTCCCCCACCAATAAGGTTCTCCATCATGTAGAACTGTATCTCTGTAGTGTTGAAAACATTGCAAAGCAGTTTGCCACCTATTATCTCATTTGATCACCTCTCCTTATTAACACAGTGCATGGCAAACAGTGGAACAGTAGAAAGTGTTTAACAAATATGTATTAAATTGCACTGAATATCTTGTTTCCAGATAAGAAAACAGACCAAGAAAGAATAAATCAAACAGTTTATTGCCGGAGAAAAACTTACTTCTAGCCCCAGATTCAGGCCCTAATTTTAACTGTTTGAAACATTTTCCATAAAATATTTGATATTCATCCAACAAAATTTACATTAGACAGATACTACATTAATATATAGGGCATCATCTTCACTGCCAAAGAACTCAAGTTAGAATTCCACCTACCTACCTACAAGAACTGCAGTTACCTAGAGGATGCACATCATCTTTTTTGAAGAAATGTGGGACACTTCAAAAGGCCTAACTTGCAGAGCTAACAAAGTGGAAATGCAATCTATGTGCTATGAAAAAGCAAAGTTGTGGAAAGGTTTTGTTCTTGCTTATATCATACGTAACGTAACAGAATACAGGGTCTATGGACAAGTGAAGTCACCCTGGGAAGAGATTTTCGTAGATGATTTGAAAAACAGTATGCTTGAGTAACCCTTAAATTTTCCATTTTGTAAATGCAGTTTAAATTCTGCTTCCTCAGAAAGACATCCACAGGACCCTTTAAATGTTTTGCCATCATCGCTGGATTTTCTGTACCTCTGTATTTCTTCAATTTTTTTAATAAGGGAAATTCACATACTTCCTTTCCCAGGTTAAACATATCACAGAAAGATTATATGATTATATCATCTGACTTAAACCTGAATAACAGACAGATAACTGATGTTACTTTATAATGGGACTTGAGTTTGTCATGTATAGGGGCATGTAATAAGACATAAAGACCCCTGTAACCACATCTTATTAATTTCAAATACCTACTTAAGTGTCAAGACTCTTGAAAGTACATTTAGATTTAGGCTAGTCTGTAATACATGCCATATTCAAGTTTAAAGGATAAATAAGTACACAATTGTTAGGGGATACAGAAAAAATATTTTCTATATTTCATTGAGTATTTCCTGACTTCTTATTTATTATTCTCTAAATTGATCTGTTAGTCTCCATGAAGGACTTATGAATGTCTCAGTATAGGACTTTGGCAACAGAGGGGAATAAAGCAATACTGTAGGGAATCAGGGCACCTTAACTGTCCAATTTGGGTTGTATAGTCTCTTGGTCTGTCACTAGGATGAGCATCTTTCCATCTTTTAAAGTACCTGGGAAGATCATCTGAGCCTAAGAAACAGAGGTTGCAGTGAGCTGAGATTGCACCACTGCACGCCAGCCTGGGTGACAGAGTGAGACCCTGTCCCCCCTCAAAACAAACAAACAAACAAACAAACAAACCTGGTAATAGAGAAACTAGTCATCTGCCTCTATTTACTGCCTACTAGCTCTGTGAAGGGCAAGTTACAAATCTTGCAAAACCACAGTTCTCTTAGCTGAAAATGGGGTATAAATGCTACACTATAAGATTGTTGTGAGAAGAATTATGAAATAATACATTTAAAAAATATCAGTACAGTACTTGCCACAGAGAAAACATGTAAATATTACCTGAATAAAAGACTGTTTTACTCTTTGGTATGGCCAGAGGGAGTGATAAAATTATCAGAAATCCAGCTTAGGAAAATAATAGTGATTGCATGCAGTGACTTCCTTAAGCCAGTATTTATTCAACTTTTAGGATTGTGCTTGGAGTTTTCATATCCACTAATCACATTAAGCTTCAAATACTTCACATAGGAATCACAATCTCTATCTCTTAAATGAGAAAATTGAGCCTCAGAGAGATTAAGTTAATCACTTGGGTTGAATAATTACTAAGTGAAAAAAATAGGATTCAAGTCAACATCCGACTGGTTTGACTCCAGAGGTTAAGTTATTTCTTCTATATGATTTTGTCTTTTAAAAAAATAAAAACAAAACCAACAGAAAGCAAGCATTCTCAATGGGGGTGATACCTGATGAAAGTCAAAAAAAAAAATTCCTTTTTTAAGTATAGAGTGCAGATATATATGTGATACATAAACTGATTTACAGTATATGTGTGTGGATGATGATCAAGAAAAAAATGTCTAAAAAGGTCTTTGGTGAGAAGAGAGCAAGAATTAACGCCCCTCCAACACACTAAAAAATTGGGAAACACTTATACAGAGCCAATGGAAGAATAGATTTAAAATTCACAACACACGCTTCATTTACAAGGCAAATTGGAAAGTTCTGTAACATTAGTCAGTCTTTCTTCCTTAGCAGAACAGGAAAAAAAAAATCAAATACTTCAAAATTCAAAGATCATCTGTATCATTTTACTTACACTGCAGTGTAATCAATGAAACAATTTTCTTGCAGTAGAGTTAATTTATCTTTAAAGAAGAGTAACTTCATTCACGGAATAAATTTAATGAATATAATTTTCAGGTTTATGTTCTACAAATATGAAATCACATACACACAAATGTTGCCATATGTCCAATTTAAGAAGGAAGGACTTCCTCTTTATTTTTTAACAGAAGCTGGAATTCCAACTAACACTAAGGAAAGTTTTCTAGAAAATCAAAGGGTATAATACTTAAAGAGTTTCAGGAAAAAAAAGAAAAGGATTTCAAACCTTCATTGAGTGCCATTAAGCAGGTGAGAAAAAACTCATGTGTTAAACTCATCACTTTTGGGATCATTAAATCATCAGACTTTCATTTGAAACACTTTTATTTCTATTTAAAACAAAGTGAATTCCAACAGTTGGACTCTTTCAAGATAAATCTTTTAGCTTAGAAGTTCATTCAAAATATAAAATAACCACAATAAATAATAATGGTAGTAATGATAATGTTTTTATTATTCTTTTCACAGATCCAACACTGGATCATCCAGATTCATAAATAAGTTCTTAAAAGACCGATAAAGAGATGGAAATAACCACACAATATGGTGGGAGACTTCAACACCCCACTGACAATGTTAGACACATAATCAAGGCAAAAAACTAACAAAGATATTCATGACCTAAACTTGACATTGACCAAATGGACTTAACAGGCATCTACAAAACATTGCACTCAACAACAGGATATACATTCTTCTCATCTGCATATAGCACATACTCTAAGATCGACCACATGCTCAGCCATAAAGCAATTTTAAACAAATTAAAAAAACCAAAATCATACTAACCATACTCTTAGGCCACAGCATGATAAAATATAAATCAACACCAAGAAGATCTCTTAAAACTATACAATTACATGGAAATTAAACAACCTACTCCTGAATGACTTTTGGTATTCTGAAAATTAAGGCAGAAATCAAGAAATTCTTTGAAACTATTGAAAACAAAGATACAACATCCCAGAGTCTCTGGGACACAGCCAGAACAATGTTAAGAGGAAAGTTTGTAGCGTTAAACACCTACATCAAAATGTTAGAAAAATCTCAAATTAAACAACAAGAGGAAACCAACCCAAAAGCTAGCAGAAGAAAAAAAAATAACCAAAATCAGAGCTGAACTGAATAAAACTGAGGTGCAAAAATGAATACAAGAGATCAACAAAACCAAAAGCTGGTTTTCTGAAACAATAAATAAGATTGATAGACAACTAGCTAGACTAATAAAGAGAAAATCCAAATAAACACAATCTCAAATGACAAAGGGGACATTACCGCCAATCCTACAGAAATACAAAACACCCTCAGAGACTATTTTGAACACCTCTATGCACACAAACTAGAAAATGTAAAAGAAATCGTAAATTCTTGGAAAAATACAACCTCCTAAGATTGAACCAGGAAGAAATTAAATACCTGAACAGACCAATAACAAGTTCTTAAACTGAATCAGTAATTTAAAAAACCTACCAACCAGAAAGAGCCCTGTACCAGATGGATTCACAGCCAAATTCCACCAGACATACAAACAAGAGCCAGTACCAATCATACTGAAACTATGCCAAAAATCAAGGAAGAGGGACTCCTCATTTTATAAGGCCAGCATCACTCTGATACTAAAATCTAGCAAAGAGACATGACAAAAAAAGAAAACTTCAGGCCAACATCTCTGATGAAAGTAAATGCAAAAATTCTCAACAAAATACTAGGAAAAAGAATCCAGCAGCACATCAAATACCTAACGTACCACAATCAAGTAGGCTTTATTCCTGGGATGCAAGGTTGGCTCAACACATGCAAATCAATAAATGTGATTCATCACATAAACAGAACTACAAACAAAAAAACCACGTGATCATCTCAATTGTTGCCAAAAACGCTTTTGACAAAATTCAACATCCCTTCATGTTAAGTCATCAACAAACTAGGCATCAAAGGAACATACCACAAAATAGTAAGAGCCATTTATGAAAAACCCATAGCCAACATCATACTGAATGAGCAAAAGCTGGAAGCATTCACCTTGAAAACCAGAACAAGACAAGGATGTCCATTATTATCATTCCTATTCAACATGGTACTGGAAATCCTAGCCATAGCAATCAGGCAAGGAAAAGAAAAGGCATCCATATAGGAAGATAGGAAGTAAACTATCTCTCTTCACAGATGATATGATTCTAAACCTAGAATACCCCAGAGTTTCTACCCAAAAGCTTTTAGAACTGTTAAACAACATCAGTAAAGCTTCGGGGTACAAAAATCAGAAGCATTTCTATATACCAATAATGTCAAGCTGACAGCCAAATCAAGAATGCAATCCTATTCACAACAACCACAAAAGGATAAAATACCTATGAATACAGCTAACCAGGGAGGTGAACGATCTCTGTAAGAAATAGAAAACAAAGAAGACAGAGACAACAAAAACAAACAGAAAAATATTCCATGCTCATGCATAGGAAGAAACAATATTTTTAAAAGGGCCATACTGCTGGGCAGGGCGGTTCATGCCTGTAATCCCAGAACTTTGCGAGGCTGAAGCCAGTGGATCACTTGAGGTCAGGAGTTTGAGATCAGCTTGGCCAACATGGTGAAACCTCATTTCTACTAAAAATACAAAAATTAGCTGGGTGTGGTGGTGTGCACCTGTAATCGTAGCTACTTGGGAGGCTGACGCAAGAGAATCACTTGAACCCAGAAGACGGAGGTTGCAGTGAGCCAAGATCACGCCACTGCACTCCAGCCTGAGTGACAGAGTGAGACTCTGTCTCAAAAAAATAATAATACAAAATAATAAAAATTTTTTTAAAACGGCCATACTGCCCAAAGCAATTTATAGATCCAATGCTATTCCTGTTAAACTACCAATGATATCTTTCAGAGAACTAAAAAATATATATTTTAAAATTCATATGGAATCAAAAAAGAACCCAAATAGCCAAAGCAATCCTAAGTAAACAGAACAAAGCTGGAAGAATCACACTACCTGATTTC